AAAAAAAAGATAAAATAGCTAGTATCTAAATATATTTTATGCATTCGTGACATACCTAATCTTTTCTTAATTTTTTCTACATTTCTAGGCTATGTGGTTCATCTGTGAGTTTTTTCAAATTGTCACAAATCTCTAAAACATTTTCCAGTATATTGAAAAAAATCCAAGTATAAGTGGACCCATGCATTTCAAACCCGTTTTGTTCAAGGGTCAACTGTATTTAGGGAATTCTAAAATCCTAATATAAGAACTGAATTTCCTTAATGGTGTCTCTTTAGCTTTTCTTGACCCAAGCAATCAAATATAGGATGATTATTTTAATTAGTCAAAATAGTATATTAGGGGAAATTACCTGGCTGAATTTGCTTTACCGTTTATGTCTATTGATTTTATGTCTGTTGACTTGTTAGTTTGGTTTGATTTTTCAATTGTATTTGTAGAACTGAAACAATTAATTTCTTAAAATATTGTCTTTTCTTTGTAGCTATTGATGACCTAATGACTCCAGAGGAAAAAGAAAAGCTCTTCACTGCTATTGGTTACAGTGAGAGCACCCACAACCTAACTTTACCAAAGCAGGTAATTATTTAGGTTATTTAATAGGTATTTTGTTTCATTTTATTGTATTATGTTGAATTGGGTTAAACAAGTTAAAGACTTTTTAAGTAATTAATAAAAAAATGTTATCATTAGTTTCTACTTCACTATTTAATTGTTAAATGCTTCCAGCCAGTCCTTACCAATTAAAATGTTTTCTCTAACTTTAGATTTAGTTGCTTTAGTGAATGAAAGAATAACGTGATAAAAAGTACTTACTATATTAAATTGAATCTTTAAAAAATTTTACCTTTTTTTTAAATTGTGAACTGGAACTCATGTAAAAGAGTGAGCAAAACCAAAATGTAATGCTTATTTGCTTGATCAGAAAGGAAACAGGTATGTAATTACTATCAAGGTTAAGATTTATAATATTGCTGCCTCCATAAAAGTCCCTACACCCCCTCATCATTGCTTTTCAGAGGTAATCATTATTCTGACTTTTATGGTAATCATTTCTTTGATTTCTTTTTGTTTATTGAAATGAACTTTCCCTATTGCTCTCCAGTTACCCCTTCATCATCAGTCAAGTATCCATATACTTGTGGAATCTGTTCTGCTGTATTCACCATTTGTCTGTCTTTGTAGTATGCTATCTTAGTTACAATAATTTTGTAATCAGTCCTGTGACCTAGCTGTGTAAAATTTTCAACTTTGGTCTTTTTTAAGATTGCCTTGTCTATTGACTTTGAATTTCCATATTAATTTTAGAATTGGCAAGTCAGTTTTTACAAAAAGTGAGATTTTGGTTGGGATTTTATAGAACCTATAAATTAATTTGGGGAGAGTTGATGTCTTTATTGTATTGAATCTTTTAATCTGTAAATATAGTATATGCCTCAATTTACTTCTTTCATTCCTCTCAATAATGTTTTGTAGTTTTCTCTGTAGAAGTTGAATGTCTTTTGTTGGGTTTGTTATAAATGGTGTTTAAAAAGTTTTTTTGAGGNTAGAAGTTGAATGTCTTTTGTTGGGTTTGTTATAAATGGTGTTTAAAAAGTTTTTTTGAGGTAGAATTTGCATAAGTTTACAAATTGTAAGGTTCATTTTGAGCAATTTGGACAATTGAATAGACCTGTGTAATGACCACCCAAAACAAGGTAGAGAACATTTCTGTCCCCCCTAAAAGTTCTCTTATGACCTTTTCCAGTCAGTTTTTCTCTCCTGACTTCCAAAAGCAACCACTTTATGACTTATGTCACCATAGATTACTTTTTTCTGTTCATGTATTTTTGTTAGTTTTTAGCTTCCTTTGCTCAAGATAATGTTTGTGATATTTATCCAGGCTGTGTGTGTTTCAGTAGGTTGTTCTTTTTCATTGCTGAATTGTATTTCATTGTGTAGCACAATTTGTTATCCATCTCCTGATGATATATGCAAGGGTACTTCAAAAAGTTCATGGAAAGATTAATATTTTTTATTTTTTCCCCAAACTTTTTGAAATACCCTCTTATTTTTGTTGTTCCAGGTTTGGCTCTTATAAATAAGGCTGCTGTAAACATTCTCGTGCAAGTCTTTTGTGGACATATGTTTTCATTTCTCTTGGGTACCCGGGAATGGAATTGCTGGGTCATAGGGTAGATGTCCATATAGCTTTTTAAAATACTGGCAAACAGTTCTCCAAAATGGTTGTAATATTTTATATTCTCACCATCAATATCAGTTGTTCCATATCCTTGCCACATTTGGTATTGTCAGGCTTTTTAATTTTAGCAGTTTTGGTGGTTATGATATGTTTTTCCACTATGGTTTTAATTTGCATTTTCCTGATGACTAATTATGTTGAGCATCTTTTCATGTCTTGTTGGCTGTCTCTACATGTTCATTTGTGAAGTGTCTGTTAAAGTGTTTTTTTGCCCATTTTGAAACTGGGTTGTTTGTCCTTTTATTGTTATTTGTGGGAGTTCTTTATATATTTTGTATATNTGCCCATTTGGAAACTGGGTTGTTTGTCCTTTTATTGTTATTTGTGGGAGTTCTTTATATATTTTGTATATAAGTATTTTGTCATATTATATATAGAGAGATATCAGATATTTTTTCTTAGTCTGGCTTGCCTATTGACTTTTTAAATAGTGGTTATTAATGAGAAAAATTTTAATTTTAATGAAGTTTTTTTTTTGGTTAGTGCTAACATTGGATCTGTTGAAGAAATCTTTGGTGACCTGGAAGTCACAAAGATATTCTATGGTTTTTTTTTTTTTTTGGTTAGTGCTAACATTGGATCTGTTGAAGAAATCTTTGGTGACCTGGAAGTCACAAAGATATTCTATGGTTTTTTTTTTTTCCTTTCTAGAAACTTTATGGTGTCTTGAGTTTTATATTTAGTCTAGTATCCATCTTAAATTAATTTTTGTGTTTGGAGTGGCACGAAGGAGCCAGGTCTGTTTTTTTCCATATGCATATCCAGTTATTTGAGCAGTATTTGTAAGAGTTCCTTGTTTTTTCCTGTTGAATTGAGTTGGCCTCTTGGTTGCAAATAAATTTACACAATATATGTTGGTGTATTTTTAGATCCTCTATCCTGTTTCATTGAGTGCTTTGTCTATCCTTATACTAATGCTCCCTATCTTGATTATTATACTTTTATAAGTTTTGAAGTAAAACCTCCAACTTTGTTATATTTTTAAATGTGTTTAATTTAAAATTTTTTTTGATTAAAAATATTTTAACATTTACTTGTACATATTTTTGGGGTACAGTATGTTGTTTCAATACATGCATATATTACACAATGATTCGCTTAGGGTAGATAACATAGTTCTGTTCTCATTAGTCCACCACTTTTCTTCCCCCATCCCCCAGCCTCTGGTAACCATTATTCTACTCTCTACTTCCATGAGGACTTTTTTTTTTTTTTTAAAGATTCCACATATAAGTGATATCATGCAGCATTTGTCTTTCTGTGTCTGACTTACTTAACATGACAGTCTCCAGTTCCATCCATGTTGCTGCAAATGATGGTACTCATTTTTTTTTAATAGCTGAGTAGTATTCCATTGTGTATGTACACCATAGTTCTTTTATGCATTCATCTGTTAATGGACATTTAGATTGATTCTTTCTCTCCTTGGCTATTGTAAATAGTACTATGATGAACATGGGAGTGCAGGTGTCTTTTTGATATATTGATTTCATTTCTTTTGGATATATACCCAGGAGTGGGATAGCTGGGTTGTAACGTAGATCTATTTTTAGTTCTCTGAGGAACCTCCATACTGTTTTACACAGTGGGAGTACCAATTTACACTCCCACCCGCAATGTAGGAGAGTTACTTTTTCTCTGTATCCTTGTCAGCATTTGTTATTTTTTTTGTCTTGTTGGTAATAGCCATTCTAACTGGAGTTAGATGATGTCTCATTGTGGTTTTGATTTGCATTTCCCTGATGATTAATGATGCTGAACATTTTTTCATGTGCCTGTTGGCCATTTGTGTGTCTTCTTTTGAGAAATGTCTGTTCAGATCCTTTGCTCATATTTTAATTCTAGTAGTTTTATAGTGTTGGGTCTTAAAATTAGGTCTTTGATCTATTTTCAGTTGATTTTTGTGTATTGTAAGAGATA